AAGGAAGTTTCCATTGCATTGTGTACATTTTTAATGACAAAGGTTTTGTGAGTTCAGATGCCATCCTGTAACTGGAACTAAAATAATAGGAAAGCTGGACTTTTTCAGCCATGTGTCATAGCAAAACAGCTGCATTTTCAGTCTAAATCTGGGAGTGGGGCACTGCTTCATCTGTATTGATGAGAAAAGGCATTTTACAAGGTCTATGGAGTGATGCACAACTTCAACTGTGATTCTTCTTCTGGGTGTGTGATATTTTGGTAACTGAATAGAACCCTAATGGAAAGCAACCTCTGTTCCTTATTCTCTTTCAACCAGCTCCACTCACTTCTTCAAGGCCTTTCCTTTAATAATTCAGCTGGAGAAACCATGTCCTTTAACAAGAATAAAGAAATGGGAACTGGATTTGACATCATGAACATGGTCATGTTCCCAAACAAGTCCTTTCTTCGAGTGAAAGCTGGACGAGTGGATGGAGATGCTCGAGAAGGGAAAGGATTCATCATTGATGAGAATATGATTGTATGGAACAGACATTTTAACCAGGTGTGAATTGCAAGATATTCTCATGGACAGAACTGAATTCATATTTTTTTTTGGTTTGTTTCAATGAATTCCCTTCTCATGAAGGATAGAGCTCCATAATAAAGTGAGAGTCACATACATAAGCAAACTCCGGAGCATGATGGAAGTCAGGAGGGCCTGGCGTGATGTGGTCCATAGGGTCGCAAAGAGTCGGACTCGATTGTGCGACTGAACAACAACAACAACAACTCATACTTTATTCAGGAACTAATATGAGATGCTAACATGAAAGTCTTATCAGTAGATCTCATTCTCAAAGGGAATCTGTGGATTCTTAAATCTGGAAACCGGAGCCATAAACACACCAGACAGATCTCGCCACAAAGCTAAGAAACGGTGCATCAAATCTGGGGGGTAAACCTCCCAAGTAATAGAAGCAGTGCTTGCAGGTTGAAGAAACATTTTGTGTGTGTGACCGTTGCTAGACAACCACTACAGTATTGACTGCTGGTTTCAGCCTTGGTTCTCTGTCAGGTAAAGGGGGGAGAATCCTTTCCAGGTCTTCTTTTTGAGGGAATACAGATTGGGGTCAGGCACACTAGCAATCATTGGGCTCCTAGCAACCACCCAACTTGCATGACTCACTCAGGCTCAGCTCCTTGCTACTGTTCCACAAAAGCCATCCCACAAAACCCAGGGAGATTTCCCACAAGTGCTGCTCCGCAGTCACTCCTCCCTTTTTCCCCCGATGGTACATGTCAATTTCACACAAGCTGCTGCACGCCCACATTTTGCCCCGCAGCTTTGTGCGATTTTCCCCGCGTCTACTCAGTCCTCAAAAAACAGGATTGAGTAGACGCGGGGGAAATCGCACAAAGCTGCGGGGCAAAATGCAGCTGCGCAGCAGCTTGTGTGAAATTGACACGTACCATCGGGCCAAAGAGAAGAGTGAGCGCGGAGCAGCGCTTGTGGGAAATCACTGCCAGTGTTGTCTGGTGGGTAGAGCTTCAGACTAGGATCAGGGGGACCCAGGTTCAAACCCCGCTCTGCCATGGAAGCTGGTTGGGTGACCTTGGACCATCACTGTCTCTCAGCTGAACCATCTTCACGGGTTTGTGATATAAGCTGCTTTGTTTCTCTATTGTGGAGAAAGACGGGGTATAAAGGAGGCAAATAAATATAGTTGAAGATGGGGGACATAAAATTTGAGGGATGGGAGGGGAAAAGGTAAGGGTTTGGTAGGAGGAAGGAAAGATGAAATAGTGTGAAGAGGGCTTTTCAGGTACCCACCACAATTCCGTGAGTGCTCCACAACTGTAGAACTTGGCCTGTCCATCCCAGCTGCTGGAACCGCATCAAAATATTCTTCTTCTTCTTTTATTACCAGGGGTTGGGAAGAAGGAAAAACTGAAGAGGGGTGGGAGGCAGAAAATTAAATGAATGAATGAATGAATGAATAGGTTGGGCAGTGGTTAATTTCAGAACCCCTCTTGCTTGCTATCTTTATACCTCTTTATCAATAACAAGTTTCACAGGCTGTAGAGCTGTGACCACCTCAACACCCACATCCTCCTTTTACATTTCTTAAGATCAGCTTCACTGTCCAATTCAAGGTGACATGGATTTGTTTTCTTTAGTGTGTCTTCTTTGACACATGCACAGGATACTTAAATCTTGAAACAGGAAGCACATCAACTCTAAACCCAGACCCCTTTCCCTGCATTCTACAGAATGTGTAGTGGGTAATGTGGATTGAGGATGACACAGAAATCATATAAAAAACCCTGAAGATTTGATTTGGTTGGTAAGCATGAGGTGTAATTCCTTCCCAATGCAGGCTGCTATTGACACAGTACAAGAGCTGGGAGGTGTGTTATACTTAAGAATTACGCTTTTTATTCTTCCAGCATCTTTTAACATAAAGACAAGAACCAACAGTTTGACCAATTACACTGTTTTTATCTGTGAACAGCATCCAACAGCTACCAGTAAAAATGAGTCACTACAGTCCCCACTAGATGTATTGCCTTGTCCACGATACCTCCTATCCCTTCTCCATCCAAAACCCAATGGTTCTTTTTTTTTTTTAATGGCTGTTGGCACTTAACCTGCTTTGGGTTTGGTGGGTTTTTTTTGGGGGGGGGAGGGAAGTGTCCTCAATCCCCTCTGCTTTACATTCTCCTTTTGAATCTGATTGGTCCACTATGACCAGGGAGAGAAGAGGGTGGAACCTTCTCCTGTTCATCACAATTGGGACAGAGAGATGGAGGCAGGGAAATGGAAGACATTATGGAAACTTTCAGCAAAGAGAAGGATGAAATACTGAGGGACAGTGTTCCCTCTAAGCTGAGTTAGTGTGAGCTAGCTCACACTTTTTTAGCCTCCGGCTCACACACTTTTGTCTTAGCTCAGGAAGGAGGGCTCCAGAGCCAACTAATTTATGCAGTGGCCAAATTGCTTGCTCACAACTTTAATGCCAGTAGCTCACAAAGTACAATTTTTGCTCACAAGACTCCACAGCTTAGAGGGAACATTGCTGAGGGAAGGGAAATTGATATGCACCCCACAACACCTTGCAGGTCTCCCTCATGTGTACCTCCATTTCTCTTAGCATGTTAAGAAAAGGAAGCATAGGCTGTATTCACATACACTAAATAATCCTTCAATGCACTTTCCAACAGGACTTTGCCAGTTCACACAGTAAAATCCAGTCGAAGAGTGCATCCAGTAGGAGAGTGCAATGAATGTGGATTGAAAGTGAATTATTTAGTATGTGTGACTGCAGCCATAGTGAAACAATTTCCTCACCTCCATCAAAATTTGCCAGGCAGCCATAGCAAAATGGCTCAAGGGTCACAACTGGCCCCGGTAGCTGGTTTTTCCTCTCCCTGTGAAATGTGTAACTGGGTTGAATGCTTTTCTCTGGTGCCCAAACTCTCCTTATTCAACCAAGAGACAGCAAAAATACTAAATATAATCTCCCATGATCAGAAAATAATTGCAGATGGTTGCTCAGATAATGTCCACCATTCAATTATATTCTATGAACAATGTGTAATTTCTCCCATCCTCAATGGCCTTTGTATATGGCCTAGGTGGTGCCCATTTCTGTGTGCAATGACCCCTGCCCCCCTGGACAACAGAAGAAAAAGAAAGAAGGGGAGAAGTTCTGCTGCTATGATTGTGCTCCTTGCCCAGCAGGGAAGTTTTCCAGCCACAAAGGTAGGTGATGCAATATATCAGATTCCCCAAGTATTGAGAATTAAGGTAGAAACTCAGTTCAAAAAATGATAATTTACCATTGTATCTGTTAAACAAAGGTAGAACCAGTTCCCAAAATATTCTGCAGGATAATTTTGGGTAAAGAAAGGGAAAATTCAAATGGTGGCAAATCTGTCCAGACAGTGTATCACAAACAAAAGATTTCTATGCTCTGGTTGCATCCCTTTGGTGCCTACATTTCTTTGATACATTCATATCTTTCTTTGGTTGCTTGTATTTCCAGGTCCTTTCTTGCACCACTTTTCCTCACTGACACTAGCCATTCAATCCTAAGCATTGTTGTCCCCCTCTAAGTACACTGAGGTCAAGGAGATTTGGAGGGTGTAATGCTGCTTCAGAAGGCACTGGAACTGTCTTACCTGTTGAAAACAGCCCTAGTATTTTCCAGCTTCCAACCAATCAGGAGTGCGGTTTACCCAGCCAACTGATCATGGACAGCCAATAAGTACCCAGCAAAACCCTTTATTTATTTCTTTTTATTTGAGTTTCAAACTTCCTACTACTAAACTGACTCCTACTAAACTAAACTGACTCCCTCAACTGATCTTTTCCCATTTCCCTTGCTTTCACAATGTGCTGTTAAAATAAAGCCTAATTTTCATAAAAAGAAAATTGCAGGTTGCTTACGGCTGCCAGATCCAGACCAATTCTTGCAAACATGTTCTCACATGGCAAAATATCAGATGTGCGATTTGTAACAGGCTTACTCAATATCCTATCTCGCACCTTATCCAGAGATTCCAATCTCCAAGTGGTCTCTCAAAATTTCAATGGATCACCAGACGACACAGATCCCTTTCCCTGTAGAAAAAGGCTGATTTGGAGGGTGGACTCTATGGCATTATACCGTGCCGAGGTCTCTCCCCAAATCCTGCCTTCCCCAATGATCCCTCCCTCATTTCGAGGAAATCCCCAGCATTGAGTGAGAAATCCTAGCATCTCTCTTTGTCTATGGAGGGGAAGGGGTAGTGGCTTTTTCTTCCCATTGACTTTAGAGGAAGAATTCACATACTATCACCAGTGCAAGAGAATATGAAAATGCTATTTAACATAAGTGCACTCAGTCAGCAGTTAGGAATGAGATGAATGGCAGCAAACATATTGCTGATCAGAAACACCAAATGTGAACATGAAAAGGCTGCAGCATATCTCAATCGTCCCTGGACTAGCTCCTCTTCCCTTTCTTTTCAGATATGGATGACTGCTTCACATGTCCAGAAGATCAATATCCAAGCAAGGACCAGGATGGATGCATCCCTAAAATTATAAGCTTCGTCTCTATTGAAGAAAATCTAGGAATCAGTCTGGTTTCGCTTGCTCTTTCTTTGTCCATGACCACAGCCTTAGTTCTAGGAATTTTCATTAAACACAGAGATACTCCAATTGTCAAAGCAAACAACAGGAATATCACCTACACTCTCCTAATCTCCCTCCTGTTCTGCTTCCTCTGCTCTTTGCTGTTTCTTGGAGAACCAAGCAAGGTGACCTGCTTACTCCGACAATCTGCTTTTGGCCTCATCTTCACTGTGGCTGTGTCTTGTGTCTTGGCCAAAACCATCACTGTGGTGGTAGCTTTTGTGGCCACCAAGCCAGGGTCCAGCATGAGAAAGTGGGTGGGGAAAAGACCGGCCAGCGTCATGGTTATCTCTTGCTCCCTCGTTCAAGCAAGCATTTGTACAGTGTGGCTAGGAACCTCTCCCCCTTTCCCAGATTTTGACACTCAATCACTGACTACTGAGATCATAGTAGAATGTAATGAAGGTTCTGTTATTATGTTTTACATTGTCCTGGGCTACATGGGACTTCTGTCCCTCATCAGCTTGCTTATGGCTTTTGTTGCCCGGAAGTTACCAGATAGTTTTAATGAGGCCAAATCAATCACCTTCAGCATGCTGATGTTTTGCAGTGTTTGGTTGTGTTTTGTTCCAACTTACCTGAGCACCAAAGGGAAACAGATGGTGGCTGTGGAGATCTTCTCCATCTTGGTCTCCAGTGCTGGCTTACTGGCTTGTATCTTTTCCCCCAAGTGCTACATAATTGTGCTGAGGCCTGAACTTAATAAGAAGGATCACCTCATGAGAAAAAATTAAGAATCTATAGTTCATATCTCTCTCTCTCCTCTGTATGTGTATATATAGACATACATACATACATACATACATACATACATACATACATACATATATATATACATATGTGTGTGTGTGTGTTTTGTTGGAACAAGGAGAGTGAAATTACTCTTGGATTTATTTTGTCTCCCTTACAACTTCATTCAGTCCCAAATACACCAGCAATCACTGAGCTCTGTGTTACCACCCAACTTGCATGACTCACTAATGCACAGCTCCTGGCTACTGATTGACAGAAGGCATTCCACAAAAGCCAGTGTTGTGTGGTGGGTGGACTTTCAGACTAGGATCTGGGAGAGCCGGGTTCAAATCCCCACTCTGCCATGGAAGCTGGTTGGGTGAACTTGGACCCTCGCTCTCTCTCAGCTGAGCTATGCTCACAGGTTTGTGATTTAAGCTGTTTTGTGTCCCTGTTGCAGAGAAAGACAGGTTATAAAGGAAGCAAATAATGAATAGAGCTGAATATGGGTGGTGAATAAAATTTGTTTGGTGGCTGGGAGGGGACAAACAACAAACAGGAAAAGGTAAAGGTATGCTAAGGTAAAGGTTTCCATTGCTCGAAAGCCAGTTGAATCCGACTCTAGTGGGTGGTGCTCATCTCTGTTTCCAAGCCAAAGAGCCAGCACTGTCCACAGATGTTTCCGTGGTCATGTGGCCGGCATTACTAAACACTGAGGTGCACAGAATGCTGTGACCTTCCCACCGAAGCGGTACCTATTTACCTACTTGCAATTTCTTGCTTTCGAACGGCTAGGTTGGCAGGAGCTGGGGCCAGAGGTGGGACTTCACTTTGTCATGTGGCACTAGGGTCTTGAACTGCTGAACTGCAGACTTTTTGGACTGCAGCTCAGCATCTTAACGTCTGCCCCCTAAAGGTATGCTAGGAGGAAGGAAAGAGGAAATAATGTGGAGTGGGATTTCAGGGGACAATAGGTGCCCACCACAATTACTTGAGGGCTCCACATTGTGCAACTTAGCCTGTCCATCCCAGCAGCTGGAACCTCACCAAATTTCCCTAGCAACTTTTTATCAGGGGGAGGTGTCAGACCCCACAGCAGGCAATGAAGTACACACTTGCAGGAAGGTTTTTACTTTATTGAAGCCATGAAGCACTTAGAACAAATTCTCTGTTCAGAATAACAAATAGAGCATTTGACAGATAGGTTAAAGCAAGTTCATAATTACACTAGCCAATAGGAAGGGTTCCCGCTCCCGCCTAGAAGGCGCCCAGTGCGCCCAAACCCTGAGAAGCAACATTTCCAAACAGTTAAACAATTAGACTATTCCCACACTACATATTCATTACAGACTAAGCAAAAGCCTCTTGCCGCACACCACCTGTGACCTTGGGTTGATAACGCGCCATCAAAGCAAAGCTAGCGTACATGGAAAGGAATGCAGTGGAGGAGATGAGCGCATGGGGTTGAGGGTGGACATGCGCATCAGAGTATACTACCGTTACCATGGCAATAGAGGTTGATGACAAGCGAGGGGGGGAAGGGGATGCAGAGATGCCCAATACATACATTAAAGACACATTGGCAGCTTGCTGACAGGAGGAAAGGAGGAAAAACTGAAGAGGGGTGGGAGCCAGAAAAGATAGGATGGACAGTGGTTGACTTCACAACCTTTTTCAGTGGATATTTTATACCTCTTTATCAATAACAAGTTTCACAGACTGTACAATTGTGACTACCTCACCACCCAGACCCTCATTTTACATTTCTTAAAATCAGCTTCACTGTCCATTTAAAGGTGGCTGCTCAGATAATGTTCTGCTTTCTTCCACATCAAATGTCCATCATTAAATTATATTTTATGAACAATGCATAATTTCTGCAGTCCTCAATGGCTTTCCTATATAGCCTAGGTGGTGCCTAGGGGAGAAGTTCCGCTGCTACAGTTGTGCTTCTTGCCCAGCAGGGACATTTTCCAGCCACAAAGGTAGGTGATGCAGTGAACTGGATTCCCCAAGTATTGAGAATTAAGATAGAAACTCAGTTCATAAAATTATAGTTTATCATTGTATCTATTAAACAAATGTGGAACTGGTTTCCAAAATATACTGGGGGATAATTTTTATTAAAGAAAAGAAAAACTCAAATGGTGGAAAATCTGCCCAGATGCTGTGTGACAAACAAAGAATCTCTATGCTTTGGTTGTATGACTTTGGTGCCTCTGTTTCTTTGATACATTCATATCCATGCTGTGCACTCTTTTTTTTATTTCCAGCTCCTTTCTTGCATTGCTTTTTCTCGTTGATACTAGCCATTCAATCCTCAGCAGTGTTGTCCCCTTCTAAGTATAATGACATTAGTGGTATTTGGAGGGTGTAATCCTGCTTCAGAAAGCACTGTGACTGTCTTACCTATTGAAAACAGCCCTAGTATTTTCCAGCTTCCAACCCATCAGGAGTGCAGCTTAACAAGCCAACCTACCATGGGCCGCCCATCAGTATCCAGCAAAACCCTTTGAGTTTCAAACTTCCTACTTCTAAACTCATTTCCTCAACTGTTCTTTTCCCCATCTCCCTCGCTTTCACAATGTGCTGCTAAAATGAAAGCCTACTTTTCATAAAAGAAAATTACAGATTGTTTACGGGTGCCAGATCCAGACCGATTCTTGAAAATTCTTGTTCTCATATGGCAAAATATCAAATATGCAGTTTGTAGCAGGTTTAATCAATATCCTATCCTGCACCATAGCCAGAGTTTCCGTCCTCCAAGTGGTCTCTCAAAATTACAGCAGATCATCAGACAACACAGATCACTTTCTCTGTAGAAAATGGCTGCCTTAGAGAGTGGACTCTATGGCATTATATCCTGCAGAGGTCTCTCCCCAAATCCTGCCTTCCCCAATGCTCCCTCCCTCATTTCAAGGAAATTCCCAACATTCAGAAGAAGATGAGATTGGGTTTATACACCACCCTTCACTACCCAAAGGAGTCTCAGAATGACTTACAATCCCTTTCCCTCCCCACAACAGACACTCTGTGAGGTAGGTGGGGATGAGAGCGCTCTCCTGATAACTGCTGTTGAGAAATGGACTAATATTTGCTGTTTATGAATTTATATATATGCTAACACACTACATAGACTGTGCGCAGTCATTTGCTCATAGGCTCAAAGGGAAAGCTGTTTGAATCGCCTGTTGTGTGAGAGAGGTTTTCACATAGAAGGTACTGAACTGCATTTCATGCTAATGAGTTTTCAGGCACACAAACACAGCTACTAAGCCTTCTGGGAAGAAGAAGCACATTTCGCCATTGTTAGCAGGAAATACAGCTTAAAAAGACAAGTATTCCCCCACTGCTGAGAGACTTGATGCCATGTTTTACACAGAGCTAATCTGCATCTGAATTGCCATTTCCTGGTGGACATGCCTTGAGTGCTTGGGAAAGCCGATATCGATCTGCACTTCAATGGGATGTCTTGGCGCAGAGGTTTGACACCTGACCAGATGGCTTTCCATGAGTTAGAGTCTAGAGTTTCAAATATTGGCCCAACCCTTAAAGGTGCTGCCCCTCACTATACACACCAATAAGAAGTAGGGCTGGGACGGACTACAGATAGGTGGGATCTCGGTTTGGCTAGGTTGCCACCCACCTGAAGATT